TAAATATATATATATATTATATATATATATATATATATATATATACATATATTCAAAGAGAATGATCGACCATCAACAACAGACCTATTTAAACAAGCACAAAATTGTAGCTATCAAACACACCTGAAATTCAAACAATAACTGCTGTTTGTTTGTTTGTTGTTGTTTATGCATCTGGATCATTGTTAATTCTCTGACATTAATTTACAAAGAAACCATGGAATGTTTTATTTTTTTACAAAACAAATATCTAAGGAAATATTAAACAACTGACAAATAAAACACACTACCAGACAGGAAGAAAGAATGCAGCTTAAAATGCAGTTAAGAGGAAAATATCTTGATGAAATAACAACAAAAACATTGTGTCAAGAAATACACACTCATGCAACGTATTTAAAGCGCGCCTTCGAATTTCCGATCTACAGTATCGCGCGCTAACTAGTATATCACGCTCGGCCACAGAGCATTGTGTAGATGAATTTCTCTTAATTAACACTCAGATTCAAAGAAAAAAGGTATGTTCCATTCAATTAGAGATAACCTAGGCATTACAGATAAATATACAAGATTGTGATTCAAAGAGTGGAACCAATCAGAACTATGAGAGTGTTTAAATCAGTTATTTGTGGGGTTCGTTATTAAAGTAGAAAATATGCATAAACTGTTTGTGCAACATACTTTCCCTTTTGTAAAGAAACAAAATGATTTATTTTATACCTAGATTTCGGAATGATGTATACGTATTCGAATTAAGACGAGCGGCAAAAATAGTGCCTATGGTGTATAACACCCGAGTGATCTCTGGATTGTGTAATTTTATATAAAGATATTTTTTGTAAAATGACTATTTATGGCCACTGTGAGATATCGAAACAAGGCTTACTTGAATTTAGTTTGGAATCGCAATATTCATGCAGTCCTGTTTTATTCAAGTGAAGACATCTTACTCCCTTTCTCCAGTAGCGAAGTAAATTTAGCAAAGGAACTGGCTGTGTAAGTAATAAAGTGTAGAGATTAGTGAAGCTTGAAAGTTATCTGTTTTATTGTTTTACCACAATAAAAACTGTGTTTTTGTTGATTTCATCTCACAACTGTATTTATTCTTTTCCATTTCACTGGCCTATGTTTGATTCGTTCTCGATAAAACATTTCTTTTTAAGTCTTCTCATGATATGTTGAATTTGCAGCTTAACTGTTTGAAACATAATATATCTGGATATCGCAACTATTAAACAGGAAGACGTTTTTAAATGAAGTGTTTCAGAATTTGCATAATAACTGCGAACTTGGACACATAATGTTAATAGAGTAACATACCAAAAGCATAAAATTGAAACTCAAAAGATTGTGGTAAGTATTACTTTTCCGTACTGCATTTTTGTATACGTTTTAAATTATTTTACTTGGAAGTATTAAAGAGTTATAACGTGTTTTTTTATGATTATGAATGTCAGAATGTATATGAAAGGTACCTTTCGAAATTAATAACATCATTAAAATGTTAAGATAATAGAGAAATTTCTTTGAACTGAATTTCAAAGTAAAATAAAATATAAGAGGTCGCTTTGCGTCTGTAAAGCCTAAGCGAATACTTTAAAAGTACCTATTTGGAAAAAATAATGTATTTAAATTTAGGAAAAGTTTTTCCCGAAGTGCTAAACATTTGTATGAATATTTTAAGAAAATATTAATAGTCTTATTTTAAATCATACCATCAACGTGACTGCTATAGTATAGTCTACTGATGACTGCTAAATATAAATTTAGAAATATCTCAATTTACGACGTTAGGCTTAACACTTGTTTTATTTTAAGTTAATCTATTCTAGAACGTAGCGCAACATTAAAACTTCATTGATATAAGTTGTAATTAAATTTTGAACGTCAAAATGAGAAGCAGAAGTAATTCAGGCGTTAGGCTTGACTACTACCAACGGATAGTATATAGAACAATACTTGAACATCAGGTAGTTATTTTTTTTCTTTTCTGTAACTAAGTTTAACTTTTAATTTTAAGATTAACCCGTTCACTGCGGCTGGGATGTATATTTCCGAGTGCTCCCATCCCCTCACACTTCAGTTCAACTGGGACAAATGTTTCCCAATGTCGACACCATTCTCTGCTGGGTCTAGGTTCATCATCACTAGATGGAGAGCTAGCATCCTCTTGTCTCATTGCCTCTTCATCATCACGTATTTGAACACCACTTGACTCACTTTCACTGTCTTTTAATCTATCTGAGTCAAGTGCATCAAGCATATTTACATTTTAATTAGGACTACTACTTGCCATTCTTGCGATGTGGTCATGGTTGGCATGCAGTTGTTGTTGTACATTCTACTTAGGCATCGTAGTTACTGAAGGGCTAAGTGGGAAACATAGAGGGAACCATATATCAATGTTAGGTGTGATGCCAATAAATACTTTCAAACTCATTTTACTCCCATACAACATGTGTGGTAATTTTGAATGACAGTGGGAGAAATTTGCACTGGGAAATGTATGTTCTAGCCACAGTGAAGGTATTAACTAAGTTTAAGTTTAACATAATTGTCACACAGTGTCAATGAGTATCATGTCTGAAATAACATAATTTTGTTTTTAATCATGTTAAATAATAAATGAAAAAATACATTATAAATACTTTAAATGTGATAATATATCATTGGGATAAATACCACTTACTGAAATTTATTAAGTTTCAACTATTTTCACATGGTTTTTATTAAGTTTGAAGCCAAGTTCACTATTATTATTAAGTTGATTACAAGTGATTTATATTAATCATACTTAATAACATTTAACTTACAGCAGTTTTGCATCACCCTAGAACTATCTAATCTTGCCCCTTGAATTATGTTAGATTTAAAGGCTGTATGGAGGAATTTAAAGGATTACTCTGCCCTTCAGCTCCTAAAGCTCTAGGGTGATTCAAAACTTTGACCATAACTGTAATATATATTGTGGCACTTGTTTTCTACCATATCTGTATAATGGAAATTTTTCATTGTCTTTTTTTTTTTTCCACTATAAGGTAGATTAAAAATGTCCAGTGGTGGTTTTAATATTTGAAAAACAAATGGAGGGGATTTAGATCTCCCTAGATCTATGTATATTTATATAATGTTAAATAATATAGTTGTTAATTTCTGAAAAAAATAGTGGGGGGGTTTGCTCTTTACACCTATTTCTGTTGTACAACATTAAATGATAGTTACTAATTCCTTAAAAAAATGGGTGGAGGGAGTTAGGTCTTCAAGATTCCTGTAGATTCATCCCTGCTTATATAAAATTAAAGAATACAGCTCTTTATTTACTGAAAAAATGGTGAGGCTCTAGACCTTTAGATTCCTCCCTCTTCCAAATCCACTCTTGTCTATACAGCATTAAAAAATACAGTTACCCAATTATAAGTATGAAACAATGTATAAAGAAACAGTAAGTTAGTTTACACTTTAAATAACACTTTTAGCCAAATAACTGGTGTTGGGTGTTGCTAGCCAGTTGCCTTCCACCTAGTAAGCAGCTCAAAGCTAGTGATAGTGGCAGATAGCCTTTGTAGCTTTGCAATGATAAAGATGGGCTGAGCAAGTTTCATGGCAATGGGAATTGAACTCTAGGTTTTCCTCTTAGTGACTCAGCAGTAAGTTATAATTCTAAAAATCTGGTTTTGATACCTGTGGTGAGCTCAAAGGTAGCCCATTGAGTAGCTTTGTGCTTAACAACCAAACAAAATAACTAAAATTGAGACCTTCAAATTGCAAGGCACCCCTACCCCCAAATTATGTAACTTTGTGCTTAACTATGTAAACAAAAAAGCATAATGGTAATATTTCAATTGTTTGGATAGTCATCCTGATCAAAAACAGTAGATAATTTGAAACATTAATTTCAATTAGTTGATTATTTTTGTTACAATCAATTTCATTGTAATTTTGATTGATTGTTGGAACAATCAAAACAACAAATTTCAATTAGTTCATTATTTTCATTGTTATTTTGATTTATCAGTTGTTGGAATAATCTGAAACAATTTTGATTCTTTTGTGGGCATTAATCAATTAGTTTACAAGACAGTAATCATTGTGTTTGCTACTCATAGGTAATTCATTAATTCACTCAGCTCTAATTCTAAATGACCACTTTTTTACAATTTGGACCATCTTTTGCTAAAATTATAACATAAATTCAATTCAGCATGAACTACAAGATGTCATAAAGTGTATTGTTCAATTGTAGCTCATTTATTATGGAGTATGGACATCAGTAAGATTGAAAGATACACTGAAGTTAAAGTGATAAATGCAGCATTCAAGATTAACTCGAGATGTTCAGTTGATTGAGATCCAATGATTATATAGGGATAGAAAATAAAATTACATTCATTTAAGGGAAGGCTATCAGAAAGATTACATTTCCCCATGTGAAGTTGCATTTCCTCACAATTTTTTTTTATTTAATTCATGCAATATGTTCATTTTCATTGATCATAACTAAAGGAATACAGATGGACCATTCATTCTCGATTGGGAAAGCCAACTAATAAGATGAAATTCCTCAAGCAAAGTTAAATTCATTGGGAATGTAATATTTCGATCCCCATTATGTCTTCTAAGGAAAATTAACACAATCTGTGTCATGCTCTTCAAAGTAATATCAGACAATTCAAGTATAGTGGTGTTGGTGCATTATGCTTTGGGAAGAGTCAAAATACAACATTTTGAGGTGGACATAATTAGCAACAAAGTTTAGACCTGCTTTGATGTTTGTATTTGAAATAATTAGCTTTCTGACAGGTGTTAGTGCTATATGACAGTTTTTTGTTTTTTTAATACAGTTCGTTATCACTTACATAAATACTACACTAAATGGTATTTTTCTGCAGAATCCTGTGACTGGACTACTGCCAAGTGGAGCATATACTGACCATGCCTGGGTTCGAGATAATGTTTATTCTATTATGGCTGTTTGGGCTCTAGCCCAGGCATACAGAAAAAATGCTGACCTGGATGAGGATCGGGCTAAAACCTATGAGCTGGAACAGGTGAGAAACAATAGAGATAACTATGTTTGGTCACTGAGGAATTGCCTAAAGTTTACGTATTTTTATCTAATGTCCAAAAAGGCTAGTAACTGAAAACACAGCAATTTTTGTTTTTTTTTTCATAAAAAGAGAGTTATTTAAGTAATAGCATATGCTAAATTCAACTTATCTTAAAGATACATATGTGCTAGCAATATGTAAGCAGTAGAAATGCTTCTAAGAGCAAAACTATGGGAAACAGGCTAAAAGAACATAGAAATGTTACTAGACCACTTCATTCCAAAACCTTTATCTCAGCTGAACACAACTACCAGACTGATCATATCATCTGATGGGATAATCATCCAGTTTTATCCACAAATCAAAATAGAAAATTCAGGAGTATCAAAAACCCTTCTTTCCAGGGTACCTCAACTATAGTATCCAAGGTTTGATATCAGTCACATTTGAACTTTCACTCAATGATGACATCATACAAGATTGTTTTAATATAATCAGATATCTTCAAAACTTAAGTCATATGAATGAAACAGTTAACACACATTTAAGACCTCATCAGTGAGTTATCTCTATAAACATTAACAAACTTAACTTAGAAACAACAGTAACATGAAGAAGAAATTAGCAAAAAGTCTTAGAACTCAAGAGTAAAATCAGGGTATCAATAACAATTCCAATTATTATAACAATTATTCTGTTATGCTATTTTTTGTACTGAACAATCCGTTGCTCATTAACTTTAAAACATAAATACCTCTAATACATCAGAAAGGTGTAGTTTACAAAGTAACCTGTAGATACAAGAAGATTAACATTGGTGAAAGAGAATGCTCATAACACTTATGTTTTAAGTAACACACAAAACCATTGTATATAAGAAACTAGCTATCAGAAATATCCATCCATTGTCAAGATTGTGACAAAAACATTTTTGCCAACAAAAGTAAAATAATTTCTCCATATAACAAATTCCCTGTTTGTTTGGAAAAGGGCTTAACAGAGACTTTGTGGTGCTACTATAGCGTGAGGTCTACCACACTATAGCG